AGGCCTTCCCTGCATTCTGGGCGCTGCCCAGAAGTGCGCAGTACCCTTGCTGCGCCGACGGGCGGCCTCGATGCGGATTGCCGCGAGTGGCGTGGGAGCCTCCAGTGGCGCGGTCGTTGGTCAACACCGCGGCGCGCGCGCGCCGCGGGTGCCGCACAACAAGCGGAGTGCATGGGCGGGCGCTCGATCGCTTTCCGGCGCCCAACTTTGACTATCGATTGCCGCCGGTTATTATAACCGGTGGGAGATCGTTTCTGCAGACGGAGGGATTCAACGCGGCGATAACTGCCCGAGACGTCCCTAACCTTTATTTATTTCTGCCCTGCTTCAGGAATCGGGGGCTCACTTCTTTCTTGCTTTGTGCAGGACGCAGGTCCTACCTTTGGGGACACGTAATTCCATCTATATGGTGGTGTCCCCAAAGGTAGGACCTGCGTCCTGCACAAAGCAAGAAAGAAGTGAGCCCCCGATTCCTGAAGCAGGGCAGAAATAAATAAAGGTTAGGGACGTCTCGGGCAGTTATCGCCGCGTTGAATCCCTCCGTCTGCAGAAACGATCTCCCACCGGTTATAATAACCGGCGGCAATCGATAGTCAAAGTTGGGCGCCGGAAAGCGATCGAGCGCCCGCCCATGCACTCCGCTTGTTGTGCGGCACCCGCGGCGCGCGCGCGCCGCGGTGTTGACCAACGACCGCGCCACTGGAGGCTCCCACGCCACTCGCGGCAATCCGCATCGAGGCCGCCCGTCGGCGCAGCAAAGGTACTGCGCACTTCTGGGCAGCGCCCAGAATGCAGGGAAGGCCTTGGCGCTTCTCGCCAGCCAGGCTGACTCGGCAACCGGCACGCGAGCCGACTGCGCGTCCCGAGCCCACGGATCGGCGCCATCGCACAGGCCCGCCAGCCGCCGCATAGCTCCAGAGAGGCCACTGGCGTTGCGCTGCACTGCCTGAAGGCGCTGCTGAGGCGCTGCACTGCTCAAAGCTGCCCCGTGCGCCGCCGCGAGCACCGCGTAGTGGTCTCGCCCTCTGGAGAGCCCCAGCACGACCCCTCGCGGCCACTCGCGCCGTTGCAGCAGCTCCGACCCCGCCACTCCGGCTCCCGAGCGCGCGGCGAGCACGAGGAAGAGCATGCGCATGGGCCAAAATCCGTTACTTGAAGGCCAGTTGGCGCTCCAGATTTTATCCAGGCTTTTCGTGGCTTTTTTGCAGCACTCTCGCGCCCAGCCTGGCGAGGTGCGTGACCCGCTTTCCTGGTGCTTGCGCTCGGCACATCGCCACTGCTGATGGCAGAGCATTTCCAGAGCCTGCCGGAGAGCCTCCAGCTCAGGATCCTCTCGCTGTTGACCGAATCAGCTCCTGCCCGCCTCACCGACGGCGGATGCTCGCCCTCGAGGGCTCCTACCGGGCTTGGGC